GTTTTCGACAGTTCTGCAGTGCTCAGTCAACTGTTTCCGACGTTTGCCTGTATGTGCCATGGAGGGAGTTATGTTCTTTGCTGAGTAAGTGTTTGAAAGTCAGTTTCTATATTGTATTGATTGGACTGAAAGTAACATTGCTCAGCAGACTCCTGTTCAAATCAGCTTGGCTGTTGCCATTTCTGATATTTTCCAACCCTTAATCCTACTCTGTTTGCGATTCTCTTCGCTGTTCGGCTCGTAACGTGTACTCGTAGGTTAGCAAGTCAGATGGAGAGATCAGGTCGGTATTTAACATAAAATATGAAGCACGCCTCTTGGATTGAAGATTAAGTTTTGACAACGTGGAAAGCCAGAAGACTGGCTTTTCCGTAGACAATCGCATCTTAAGAAACAAATGGACATAAAACATGCCCAAATCAGTAGCGGGCAATGATTTACCATTCAGCTTCGATGATCAGTCATACATTGGAAAGTGACTAGTAACTTTAGATATAGACATAAATGGCGATAGGTTATTCTGCCCTCCAAATTGCAGTAAGCAATGGTTTGAAAGAAATCCTGCCAAAAGCTGATTGAAGATCATGTGGTCGAAGTTAATACATACCTGCTCTATGGTTCAGCAGCGTTAATTCATCCAAACTGGATGAGTGATGGCCCTTACTTTTATTTACTTAGTATGGCGAAAGAATCAAAGCATTAATCGAAAAATAGCAGCCGAAACAATTGTCAAAAATACAAACGACCAAATAGACATTAGATATGCACAATCATTTGCCAAGACGTCAGTTTACTTGACGGGAAAAAGAAATGAAACGAAACGCCTACACAACGACGAATCTGTGTTTACACCACGAGTTCGACGCTCAACACACATGGCAAAGCAATTCAACTGTTGCAGCTTTCGCCAGGATGAAAAACAAACAAAATGCTCAAGTTTAATGAACAAAATTAAACTGCTGAAAAGCACGGAGGACACCATACAAGGCGCCTCGGGTAACGTAAAAAACGACGATTACTTTAAATAAGTAATTCATAATAATCGAGCAGCACGTAGATGCTGAAGCGACGGACGTATTGTATGCCCTTTTCATTTGAGGAAGGCAAAATCCAGATCGTTTTACAACCATGGGCGCGAAATTCATTCGCTTATACAGTGCACACAAAACTAGAATGCTCCACAGAGGCAACGAGATAATATGCGAATTATTTCGCGGAACTGTAGCCCGTTCGCCAGATAGCTCACGCTTTATTTGTGTTTTTTAATTTCACATCTGAGGTGATGACGGATGGACATACAAACCCGACTAAATAACTGATTGGCCGATGACATTAACCGGTACGGGCGAGAACCACGAGAGCGCCATCTGACAAACGCTTAAACCGAAAGACGAAGGGAGAAAAAGACGAATGCAGAAGCCCTGTGTACAAAATGCACAAAACCATGTGACAAGTGTTGTTCGCGGCCGTGTTTACAACGAGAAGCCAAAAACCAAAATGGTCATCTCCATCTGCCGAAAGTCTATATGTCAGGTGGAATACATGGCCTCACCGCAATGCATATCGTACAAAAAGCACAAGAGCAACAAATAGGCTTTAACTGGAATTCGCTGAGCGCATGACGAAAACTGATCAAATTGTTTACTGCTGCGCAGCAGCCTGTTTCTGAGCTTTCTCCAAATCTTCCAGCGTGATGGCTTTCGCTTCAGGAGGAATTAAAGGCATCGGGAAACGCTGACTTGTAGTGAATAGTTGACTTAATGGATCTGAGGATCGTGCTCCTAAACGAAAAAGCGTTAAAAGACAAAAAATATTTTAATAAAACATTGTTGATTTTTACCTTATCACTAAATCACTATCACCTTATCACTACATTAACGCTACACTTTATCACTAAATCGCTTAATGATCGATCTGAATGCTTCTTATTGAAGCACTCGTTCGCGTGGGAGATTATCAGTGTGTTCAAAGTGCAGCTGAAAGTGAATCAAGAGCCAGCTTAATGTTCACAATGCAAAATGAAAACTAGTTCTGCTTTCCCATGTTGTACTGCCATCTTGTGCCGTTAAGGTGTAAATGAACAAAATATCCTGCCCAATAAACATTGGAGGATAGAAGCATTAACAAGTTGCATAAATGAAATACACCTTACTTTAAAAGATAGCACTGGAAGGTAGAGCTAGTTTTCATTTTTCAGATGGACATAAAGCTGCGTCCAAATTCAGCTGCACTGTGCACACATTGGTGAACAAGTACGACGCTGAAAAGCATTCAGACTGAATAAATCTTACGATAAATCGCTCCTCTTAAACACAACCCATGTGTCTTTTGCATCACCTTAAGTATGCTTCCGTCATTTCATGTCACATTTATATCATTCGAAGTAAAGATTTGTCATTTCATGGTTTTAACGTGTGTATAAAGAAGAATTTTGTCAGTGGTGGTGCATTTTTGTTTACCTGTATCTTATGTAACTCAAAATGTAGCAATTACAAAAGTAAAATATCGATAACAACAAAGTAAAAATCATATACAAAACAAAGAAGAAAAGGGTGAAGGCAAACAAAATAATATTCAAGTTTAACCTTGTGCTATTAACTTTGTGCGGAAAATGCAAAATAAATGTAAATGTAATCGTAGACGAAAATGAAAAGCAACACCGCGGCAAAAAAAAATATGAAACCTTTCCCTTATAGGAGATTGATAAAGTTGTAAGCAGTATCAGCAGTCAGCTAAAAGAATCTTAGCTGTGCACGACAGGTGAAGTATTTAATCAAGGGCAAAAGGAAAATCAGGCATACGGAAAAGAGGAATCGATTCTTAATTTGGCAGCGCAGTTACGCTATTTGAAGTCATGTGAAAGTTCATGATTACTCTCGACATTGAGAGTAGAGGCTTAGGTCAATGGAACTGGGTAGAGATACTATCTTCCCATTCACCAAAGCAAGTATTAATTAATTCTTCAATACGTTTATCGACTCCGCTGTACATTAAATTCTTAATTCGTAGATTTATTACAGGTAGTCAGATAAGAAATCGGTCGAAAACAGTGTTAATCGTATGAAGACGGTTGAGCGGCGTACTGTGCGATGAGAACATCAACTTGAAACTAAAGCGTACAGAATGATAGTAAGACCGGTGCTTCTGTACGAAGCCAAATGTCTGGTTAACCTGGAGAAAGGAGCAACAGCTGAAGTGAGTAGAAATGCTACAGTTCAGATGTATTTATTGTGTAAGCAAGAAACAGTTGGAATACCTTCCATCGCGAAAAGGCACTTTAAATATAGCATCGGTTAAACAAAAGATTACTGAAAGCAGCCTCCCACGGTTCGGTAAGGTGAAAAGAAGACCCATCGAGTACACTGGAACGTCGTTAATGAAACTGCGAGGAGCGACCTAAGATTTAACCAAAGACAGAAAAATGTGGAGGTAGTTGACTCGATTAGCGGACCTCTGTTAAATGAAATAAGAAAAGGAAGATATCTTGATAGATAACTTATACAAATAGTTACGAAGGAAGAAATAGCAAATAAACACGTTAATTTAATAAAATACTAAAATTAGACTTTTAGAGTGTGTAAGTAATCGTGTTCATAACTGCTAAAAAGCAAACTGTTTATATTTTCAATAGCTTCAGTCAAAGAAACATGACGATTGTAATAAGACAACTATGAGAATTTCGAAATTATGAGCAACTTATTTATTTAGCTGAGCAAACCTACTGTTAGCCTAAACTTAACAAATTTAACGAAGGAAAATACATTCACGTCGATTAGAAAATTAAGTTTATAAGCTTGCAAACATATACAAGTGTACAAAATAAAAGCAACACACAGATTTTTGAAACTTATGACGAAAAACGTCAGAAATATTCAAATATTATAGCCAAGGCGCTTCAGAATTTTTTAAGCAGAACCCAATACCAGTCAGTAAATGGGGTTTTTGTTACGAAAGTTTGAAAGCAGTCGGCTGCTGCTAAGGCTTCTAAGATTAAGCTTTATTTGACTTTACTAGATTCAAAGCTTTTACTTTAAGTGAAAATCCCGTTGCAGTGAGTTGCAGTTTTATCTGGGATTAATATATGAAATGATGTGCCACCGGAGGAAGGACATCAGATCAGGGTGGAGAAGAATTAGGACTGTGAAAATAAAAGGATGTGAAAAAAAATTTCATGCATTCTAACAATTTAAGCAATATCGTAAGGATATATATATATACGTATATAATTTTTATTTATGAATCTGCTTATTTCAGGTCAAGTAAGAAAACGCAGCAGGAACAGAATACAGAGAGGGTGAGGCAGAAGGAAAAAGTGTAATGGCTTCTGTACGATTTTGTTAAGACACAACAAACAAATGAATTTTACAGGTCCGTAAGTGTCTACAACAAAAACACCTCTATCAAACAAAGAATGAAGATACGCAGGTAAGAAACAAAACAGAATTAAATACCAACCTTTCGATACGGCGTTCCGCATTCGAATCTGGTGCATGTACTGCTGCTGAGGAGACAAAGCTGGCGCTCGATGACGCAACATATTTACATCAACAGCACTGGAGTTGAGTCGGACCGGTGATGACTGCACGGACATACGTGGCCGGTGATGCATCGCTGCCATCTGCGACTGCATCGCCTGGGCTAAAACATATTTTAGTACGAAACAAATATGAAATATTTAACTAGACGTTAATGTAATATTTAATCATCGCTCAGTACAAAACGACAGTAACATTTAATTCGGATATCAATCAGTAGTAACATTAATCAGCAGGTCTTTCTTCAACATACAGTGATAATGGTATTGATAAGAAGATATCGTAGTCAGGCCGAAACGCTGGCAAGAGACAATAAGGATATGTTACCATCGTCCTTTACCTGATGTCATAAAATAATTGAAGCGACGTATCCCCACAATACAAAGTTTGTGATGCAGAATCAAAATTAATATCTCAGATCATCTATAACTGAGGATGTTATAATATACTGCGAGGATGTTTGTAAATATCATAAAACTAAATTATACGTACGTAATAACCAAATCATTATATAATAGAATAAATGCATTTTGATCATTCGTCGCAGGTACAGCCTACATTTGACAGCTTCCATGTCAGAAGCAAAGGGTAACAATTCAGACAAAGGATAATTACGTGAGCTGTTTACGAACCAAGCAAGGAATTACATAAAGGATCGAAATAAGGTAGTCTTTTATGTTAAGCGGTTATGGGAATTACAACCGTGAATAACTTTCGTAGATCCCGATAGTTAGCTGACAATGCACACCAACTGGGGTTCAGACGTTTGCATATCATCGGCCTTTGTCGATCCACTGCTGAATGAACGTCTCTAAAGGGGATTTAAAACAAACCAGCTTTCTGTGAGTTTTAGCCATCTTGATGCAGCCAGCTTCTTTGTGTTATTTTACCTAATCGATCTTGAGGTCATTCTACAGATATTTACTCTCTCTTGCACCGAATCTAATGTTTATCCAGCGAATGTCGGATCTTCTTGCAGGGAGCTCGCCCACTGCCACCTCAACTTCTTCACTAGGGCAATGGCACTGCGGAATCTTGTTTGCACTCTCACCCACTCATGTAATTTTATTTTCATGCTATTCCCATAATACATCATTCGGATAATAATCATCCATGCCTCGTTGCTTAGTCTGCAGTTTATGAAGAGCATTCAAATTTAACGCCTAGGTTTCGCGGCTATAGATCAGTGCCATGAGCACAACGGTAGAAGATTTAACGTTTTAAACACAAGAACACTCTTCAGGATAGGAATATTTTCGTTCTTCTAAAAGTATTGTTACATTCCTGTTCTTGTGCCAATTCTCC